GTGCATAACCACACACACATATACACTCATGCACACACATGCACACCCACACACACATGCACAGACTACTAATTAATTTCTTTTTTTTTTTTTTTTGGTTTTTCGAGACAGGGTTTCTCTGTGTAGCCCCGGCTGTCCTGGAACTCACTGTGTAGACCAGGCTGGTCTCGAACTCAGAAATCCGCCTGCCTCTGCCTCCCAAGTGCTGGGATTAAAGGCGTGCGCCACCACCGCCCGGCTAATTAAATTTTAAAATATGTTGCTGTGGTATATAGTTTTAGTTTTTAATTCCTACTTTGAACTTCCATATCATTTCTTGATCTGTCTTCCCCCTACTGGAGCTAGAAGATGATGGGCCTATAAAGCAATTATGTGCCCTTTATAGCAATACTAGACATTATTCCTTGGATTTAAATACTCTACTTTATAGCATTAAAAAAAATAGCTATAGTGGCTAACAAAAACAACTTCGTAGGTGATGGTGATTGCCACCAAGCCTGACAGCCTGACTCAATCCCCTGGACCTATATGGTGGAAGGAAGAGCTAACTCTCACGAGTTGTTTTGTGGGTGCTACACATGTATCACAATGCATTCAAGAAAACACACGAGCACACTTTCCGACTGCCATACTCACATCATGCATTCACACACAACCTCACAACAACTAGAGGTTGTAAACTAGAGACAGCTCCCCAATTAAGAGTGTTTGCTGAGCTGGGCGGTGGTGGCACACGCCTCTAATCCCAGCACTTGGGAGGCAGAGGCAGGCGGATTTCTCAGTTCGAGGCCAGCCTGGTCTACAGAGGGAGTTCCAGGACAGCCAGAGCTATACAGAGAAACCCTGTCTCAGAAAAAAAAAAAAAAAAAGTGTTTGCTGCACTTGCAAAGAACCTGAATTTAGGTCCTACCCAAATTCATATGAACATATCCATATACACGTGGAGATAAAATATTTTAAATTTTCTATAGTAATCAAGGCATTCAAATATTTATGAGTAATCCTAAGATGCATGTAAGTTCTACATGATGAAAACTTTAAAACACAACAATGGTACATCCAAGACGAAAATTTATGGGAAGATTCTAGATTATAAATACAACAATGTTCTTTTAATCTAAAAATATGTGATTCCAATAAAAAATAACATTAGCAATAAAACATAAAAGTAAATTATGGACAATTTTCACAATGTACTATGACACAGTAAGAATAATTAATAAGCACGCTTTATATACATTAAGTCTAAATCTTGCTGAAATAATTCGAACAAAGGAAGCTAAACACGAAAGAGTACATCCTCTGTGAGCCCCTCTTGAGGAGTGTAATGGCCGGATGGGGCTCATGAGTGGCTTCTGGGACACTGGTAATGTTACTTTTTGATTTGGTGCTGCTTACAACAGATAATCCATTTTTGAAAAATATATATACATAATGGCCATATGGCAACTCATACTTGTAGTTCTAGAACTCTTGAGGGTGAGGCAGGAGGATTTCCTAGACCACATACTGACTTCTCAGCCAGCCTGTGCTACAGAACAAGAGCCCATCACAAACCAACAAATTGTACATTTATCATTTGTACTATGAATTATTTTTTAATTGTGTCAAAATACATAGCATGTATTAGTGGTATTAGAATATGAATAGATCAATGGAACAAAATATCCTTAAAGAGAGGGCTAGAGAGGTGGCTCAGCTGTCAAAAGCACTTGCTATCCCTCGCAGAGGACCTGGGTTCGATTCCTAGCATCCTCATGGTGGCTCACAAGCTTCTGTAACTCCAGTTCCACCTTCTTCTGGCCTCTTCACACATTAGGATTGCACACAGTACACTGATATACATGAAAATAAAATATTCGTACACAAAATAAAATAGACTCAAAGATATGTAAGAATTTGAGTAGTATAAAGGTAGTATTCACAAATACAGAAAATATGAAAAGTTGGATAAAACACAGTTGTATATCTGTCTCACATCTTTATGCCATAATAAATTCCAGAAGAGTCAAAAATTTATACATTCAAAGATACAGAATGTCTTTTTTAAGAAAAACAAGAGTTTTAAAAATAATTCTAAGTAGTAAGAGACTTTTCTAAACTATATGAAGCCCAAAAATTATAAAAAATGTTGATAAATTCAACTACATAAAAATTACTGGAGCTGTGAAGATGGTTCACCCAGTTAAAGTCATGCTCTGTAAACATAAAGGCCTAAGTTGGGATTGGTGCACTCTCATAAAAAGCCTGGGGCAATGGAACATCTGGGAAGTGAAGGACCAGGCTGGTCTTTGCAGCTCACTGGTCAGCTAGCCTAGCCTAAACATTAGTTTCAAGTTCAGTGAGAGACTCTGTCTGGTATTATGTTTTGGTTTTGTTGTTGTTTTGTCTAGTTTTCTGAGACAGGATTTCTCTGTGTAGCCCTGGCTGCATGGAACTCACTCTGTAGACCAGGCTGGTCTCAATTACCTGCCTCTGCCTCCTGAGTGTTGTGATTAAAGGTATGCACCACTGTCTCCCAGACTGGTTGGTTGGTTGCTTATGTGTGTGTGCTTTGTTTTTTAAAGGTAGAAAATGATTGAGGAAGATGTCTGTGTTCTATGTTTGACCTCTGGCTTCACACACACACACACACACACACACACACACACACCACAAAACTCTTATATAGCAAAACTGTAAACAAAGTTTAAAATTACATAGAATAGGGGCTGGAGAGATTGCTTATCAGTTAAGAGCACTGGCTGCTATTCTCTAGAGGACCTTGGTTCAACTCCCAGCACTCACATGGCAGCTCACAACCACTTGTCACTCCAGTTCCAGTGGATCCAGGGCTCTGTAGGTACCAGGCACACACATGGTGCACATATATGCATGCAGGCAAAATACTCATAATCATAAAAATAAGAATTATTTAAATAAATAAAAATGGAAAACAGTAAACTTGAAAAAGAGGGAAGTATTTCTAACTTATGTACAATGAATAAATATTAAGATTTAATAAGTAGTAAAAAATTAACAAAGCATGTAAACAATTTGTAAAAAGTACAGCTGCACTTAAACATATTACATGCAGCTTTACTTATAATAAATGAAATGAAAAATAAAGTTGCAATGTCATGATAATTTCCACTCTTGGATTGCCTCTCCCCCCAAAAAAAAAATCAAGCTGTGTGACAACATGTGGTGTCAGTATGCTATCAAATGGGTCCTTTTCATGCATGCCTGGTGGGTGCAAACTTTTTAAACTTCTGTGGAAGGCAATCTGGCAATACTAAATCAAATCCTTTTCAAATATTGTTAATTGAGTAAAAACTGGAAAAATGTTTGTGGGAAAATCTTTACAAAGCTGTGTACATCCAAATATAAATAACAAGGCACAATTCTTTGAACTAATGTTTGTATTCATAAGTATTTAGCATGGAGATACAATCATCTAAAAGCAAACTGAAGCCGAGCTTGGTGATACATGCTCAAGTGCATTTCTCTAAGTTTTAGTCCAGCTTGGTCTACACAGAAAGACCCTATCTCAAAACAAATAAAACTGGTCCACACAGAGAATTCCAACCAAACCAGGGCTATATAGAGATACCTGGTCTTACAAGTAAAAAATTTAAAAGTGCAAAGTATGCCTGGTCTTACAAGTAAAAAATTTAAAAGTGCAAAGTATGCTTAAAAGTAAACATGTTAAAATTCTGGTTAAATACATCTTCTACATCCATGTCATATCTTGAGATTTAACTAAGAGGCAGAAAGGTATGTTGCTATGAAAAGCTTACTAATATATATAAAAAGAACGTTATAAAATTGTATGTATAGCATGCTTTCAATTGTGTAAAAACACACTGACATGTATTTTAAGTGTGGAACACTTATGAAAAATTTCCCAAGAAACTGGTTGCACTGGTTGCCTCTGAAGGGACATTGTGTGCAATAACCTTTTGTTACTTGTGAATCTTCTTAAAGGTGCATGCATTATTTATCCAAATATTTTTTGAATGACTAGAAGCATGTTTGTAAGCCCCAGCTACGCAAGAGCCTGAGCAAACAGAATTTGGGGACAGCCTGGACAACATAGCAAGCCCGTCTCTAAAATACAGTAATAATAATAAAGAGGAAACTGACCCAAAGACATCTGAACGACCAAACACAGTGTTTGTTGTGTTCACTCAACAAATGTTTATTGAGTGTTCATCGTGCGCCAGGCATGACACACGGTGGTGCGACTGTGCCCTCGCCGTGGAGTGAAGGTGATAGCAGAGTCAACCGTTCCTAACGGTTCGGGAACGACCCAGGCGGCGGCTGGAATTCAGTTTTTCAAGCAAACCGCTGCCTGCCAAATCCTCCCCCTTCCGCACGCAGAACTACGGCCCAGGCCAGGGCAGGGGGCCGCAGGCGCGCTCCTCCTGCAGCTGCCTTACCAGGGTGGTGGCCACGGTGACTTTCGGTCCACGTGGCGTGTGCAGCGCCCGCCCCCATTTCACTCCTTTAACATAGTTGCTTTCCTGTGCCCTGGCCAAGATGGGGTTGGGAAGACGATCTAGGCAGAAATTCTTAACAGATAAAGTGGCGCCGCAATCGTGAGGTGACTTCCCCCAAGGCCGCTGGCTGTGGAGTGACTCCGTAGGACTCGGGACACCCACGAGTGACCGAACCCCCACCCCTATCCCCAGCCTCCGAACGCCGAAATCCCTCGTGGCTTAAGGCCACACAACCTCCTCCTCCGATAGATTAGAGGAGGACCGAGGACTTCAGAAGTCTCTAATTGGCTATTTAATTCTCAGCAGGTGCATGCTCCATTAACAGAATTGGCTTCCCCGGGCTCTAACTGGCTGCAGACGTGGGCCGGCTTGGACTTTCATCCGGGTAATTGGACTTCAGCGCGCATCAACCACGTCGCTCACGGCAGCCCGCAGAAGGATTGGCTGCGGCGGAGGAGGGCGATTGGTCAGACTTCAAGGCGAGCGTTGATTGGTGAGGATGCGTTGCAGGGGCGGGGCAGGCGGCTGCGCCGAGGGAGCGACGGGGCGGTGGCAGCGCTGGTGAGGTGCGAGGCTGAGTGCAGAGCGCGCAACTCTGGAAGAGCGGTAAAGGCGGAGCGCGAGAGGGGAGAGTTTGGGGGTGTGGGAGAAGCAGGGCGGTGGGGACCCTGGCAATTGTAAGGCAGAAGCACAGGGCTGAGGGTCAGGAGGTGTGGGATCCTTGGGGCGAGGGGCGAGGCCCTCGCGGATCACCGCCTGGGGCAGCTGTGCTGGGAGCTAATAACCAGACTCAGAACAAGGACTCTGAGCCGGTGAGCTAGGCCCCCAGGACTGATAAGGCATTCGCCGCAACTCTGCACTCCTAGACTGGTTCTTTTTGAAACGAGGGCCTTTTATTAATTTGCCTTTTACCTTCCCCAACTTAGTCCAGTGACTGTAGCTGCAGGGTGTTATCTCTTAGTGACAGGGTCTGTGACAAGCTGGTTTTGAACTCGAAATCCTCTAGCCTTTACCTCTGGAGAGATGAAAGTACAGAACAGGCCAGCACCGTAACACTCTAGATTGGATTGTTTTTCCATCAGTCTTCCTTTCTCATTGGTTGGTTGGTTGATTGGTTGGTTTTTGAGACATCATCTCTGGTAATCTACCCAGACTGGCCAAGAACTTGCCCTGTAGCCATCCTTAAACTGCTGGTCCCTTCTACCTCCTCCTTTCAGGTACTGGTATTTTGGGGACACCTGGCTTCCTCACCATCACCACTCCCAGACAGGATTTCATGTCACCCAAGGTGGCCTTGTGCTTGTAATGGATGAATTTGGGCTCTAGTTCTTCCTGCCTTCACGTCCTCTCTAGTGGGGTTATATGCATATGCTGGCACACCAGGCTCAGACCTCTTCGTTGTTTAAAGTAAACTCCTGATTGGTTTGCCTGATTTGAGTTCTCAAACCTATACCTTAAGATATTATCACTTGGTAACTCACTTAGCACAAATATACTTGTAATATCTGAAGTTAGATTTGCCTGTTGGTTCAAATGGATACCACCAAGCAACCCTGTCCTTGTCACAGGCAATTATCCAGTGACATACTCCCTCCACAAAAATCATCAGTGTTTTCTGGCGTACCATCTACCAGGTGTCCCATTCAGAAACTGTATAACTAACTCCTTGCCTTTGCCCTCTACCTTCCCATAAATAAATTGCTAGGTCTTTTGTATTTGTACTACCAATTCATACTCTGATTTTTCTATTATTGATGACTGCTATAGTTATTTATTGGTCTTTTACTGCTTTCAGTTCATTATTCTCATAACAGACGGTCATTAATCAAGAATTACAGAGGCCGATAAGGTGGTTAATGCAGCAAAGGAAAGCTTGGTGCCGTCAATGACCAGAAATGGTGATTGAGGCTAAGAGAGAACCAACTCCTCAAAATTATCCACTGTTGTCTTGGCACACAGTTGTCAAGAGAACTGATTCCCAAATGTTGTCCTCCAACCTCTGTATGCATGCCAGAACACACACTTGCACAGACATAATTAAATAAATGCCATTAAAAACCAGTTATAATACTGACATGTGCTGTGAAAGTAAGTTTGGGATATGTGAAAGTTCTTATGGATTGGTCAGGATTTAGGAAATTTGGATGCAGATCCAGAAAAATATCAGATATTCTTGACTGTGATTCTGATAGTTTCAAACTAAAAAACTAGGGACTCTTTATTATAAAGTGACGCAATCGCCAGGCAGTGGTGGCACATGCCTTTAATCCCAGCACTTGGGAGGCAGAGGCAGGTGGATTTCTAAGTTCGAGGCCAGCCTGGTCTACAGAGTGAGTTCTAGGACAGCCAGGGCTATACAGAGAAACCCTGTCTCTAACCCCTCCCCCCAAAAAAAGACACAATCATGACTGACCTTCAAAACAGTTATTTCCCTTGCATATTCTAAAATTGATGGGCTAGTTATATGATCTTTAAAAAATCTTTTTATATTTCTAACCCAGTTTCTAAGTGGGTTTCTCCAGTTGTAACATGAATGGAACAAAATAATCTTTTATGATCTAACCAGTTCTAAAATTTATTTCTATGCCATATAACATGAATTATGAGACCAAATGTAGCATAAAAAGAAAACATGAAAATACACAAAGCTAGATTTACTTTGATTTTCCCCTAGGATATACACACCTCCCTTGTTATCCAAAAAGTTCCTTGAAAGCAGCTAAGTCTTTCTTATCTGCTATGTCCTCAGAACAAAGTTCATATTGAAACTCCGTATTTATTAGTGTGAGTAAAATGGCAAGAGATAAATATACTGTATCTTTTTCTAAGTTTAATTTACTTTTATTTATGTATATGTGTGAATGACTGTGAAAGTCAGAAAAGGGTGACGGATCTCCAGGAGTTGGAGTTACCTGGTGTGGGTGTGGGGATCAAACTGGGGACCTTTATAAGACCAAGAAACAAAACTTAACCACTGACCTATCTCTGGCATCATGAGCTATATCTTGAAATGATTTTTAATCCTGCCTTGTCTAGGAAATGAACCTATAAAGTTCTAACTTCGCTGTTTAAAAGTTTTTGCATTGTCATGTAATTAGTTATTTTAGTGTCTGTTTCTCCTACTCAATGGAGTATATCAGAGCAGGGATTTTTAAAATACTTTATTTGTATTCTCTGTATGAGTGTTTACCTGTGTATGTTAGTGCACCATGGGCATGCAGTACCTACAAACACAAGAACAGAGTATTGGATCCTCTAGAGCTGGAATTACAAAGTGTAGTGAGCTGCTGTGTCAATATTGGAAATCAAACCTGGATCTTCTGCAAGAGCATCAAGTATTTTTAAACACTGAACCATCTCTCCAGCCCCCAGAGCAGAAATTCTCATTCTTCTTTCTGCCTTCAGCATATGTAGTTCTTAACAAAATACTGGCAATATTTAACTGAACCAGGAACTAAAAGAACTAAAACTTTTCTAGACATCCAAAATAAATTATCTCTTGATGTAGGAAAGTAGCAATTCGGAAGTTAATATGTTTGAAAATTATATAAGAATAAATCTCCTTTATGAAGCCAAACATGTTTCTTTTCCTTGAGTAAATATAAAGGTGTTTATATAATATCACACAAACTTTTGTGAAAATTTTTATTTATTGCCTGTTGACTAACAGAGAATCGTGATTTGGGGGAATGTACCCTAAAAAATAACAAAAAAACCTCAGGCTACATGAAATTCAACCCCCCTTTTTCCCCCTAAAAGGTATGTGTGTAGGCTGGAGATGGGATAGGGTGGTGGGAGAGTCAGAGGGGTAGTAAATGCTTCTGACCCAACTACCAAGAAGAGGTTAAGGCAGGAAGATCCAGAGATTAGACTAGCCTTAGCAGCTTAGACCCTATTTTCAAAGGAGGTTGAGGAAGAAGGGAGATGTAGGTCAGTAGTAGAATGCTTCCATAATATCATCCATTCTTCCCCGAAGAAACTGAGTGTGGGTGGGTGGTTAGAGAAAACCAGTTTCCCTCAGTGTTAATACTTAGTCTCTAAAGCAATGTACTTAACCTACCAACCAACTTAACCAAACTGACATGACACCTGAATGCCCACCCAAGGTAATAAAAGGTTCTGTTTTTTTTCCTTCAAGCCATAAGTCTGGTCAAGAGGTGGATTACACTTGTTTAAAACTACTGACTAAGAAAAAAAAAAAGATTTGTCAAATCTCTGATAGATTCTCTGAAGAAATTTTTTCTTGTCAGTAAAGCTCTCTACCACCTCTAATCTCTTTAACAGTTTGTATCTGCTCCTTGGAGTGAGATTTCCATACTAGTCTCTTCTCTCTCTTGACTTTTTTCTTCTAGGCTTTTAGGGGCAGCACATTTATATCAGTTTTATTGCAGAATAGGTTCTATATTGATGAGTATGTTTTTAACCTTACTTAGAACAAAGATTTTTTTGAAGTTGAAGACATTTTAATTTTATATGTGCATACACCTGTATGCATGTTCATATGTTCATGGGCACATGCATATGTAAGATACCAGTGCTTGTGAAAGCCAAAAATTGACACCAAGTATCTTCCTCAATTTCTCTATTTTATTTATTGAGACAGGGTCCCTCACTAAACCCAGAGCTCACCAATTCTGTCTAGTGTAGCTAGCCAGTTAACTCTAGGGATCCAATCCTTGCCTCTGAGGCATAGGATTAAAGAAAGCTACCACTTGAGTTCACATGGGTTCTGGGAATCCAGACTCTGGTCCTTGGAACTGTACAATAAGAATGTAGCATTTCCACAACCCTGTATTTTTATTATCTGGGTTGAACTTTTATACCTGGTGGCAAATTATAACAAATTATGTTTACACGTGCTTAAGCAGTTTTCATTAAAAACTACATTTTGGCCTGATATAATGGTACATGCCTTTAATTCCAACACCTGGAGGCAGAGGCAGATGGATATCTTGAGTTTTAGGGCAACCTCATTTACATAGTGAATTCCAGGCCAGCCAAGGCTATGTAGTGAGAAACCCTGTCTCAAAAATCACACACACACACTATGTTTGAGTTTGGTTTTCTCTAAGGCAGAGCCTCTCTGTGTAGCCTTGACTGATATTCAACTGGCAGTCATTCTGCCTCAGACTCCTAAGTGTTAGGATTGCAGGAGTATGCCACCTCGCCTGGACACATTATGTTTTGTACTACTATATCATAATATCTAGAATGGATACTGTTTAATTTTTATCATCTATAATGTTTTTATAAGTGTTTATTAATTTTTGGATTGAAATGGATCAAAATAAGGAATTATATACTGTTACCCTGAAAGTTAAAGGAAGGTTAAGAATCTTCTGAAATCACTTAACAAGACATTTCATGAGCAAATAACTCAAACCTTAGGTGATAAGTTAAATAAACTTTTCATGTAGATGTGTATCTTTATAGAACTGAGGTTATTATTTCCTACCTTAAAGGTTATATTAATATTGAATAATGTATATAAGGTGACTGAGGTAGTAGATACTCAAGAAATTTATTTTTTAATCTTTGTGTTCCTGGTGCCACAATCGTATCTAGCACATGCCAGTGCTTAATGTGCTTAAACTGCATAGTAAAGTCAGTAGTTTAGAAGAAGCAGGATAACAGACTGTGGTGGAGTAGTGTGACCTACATAAGTCAGCACTAGGAACCTCCGAGTCTTCAGAAGAGGTAATATTAAAGATGAGATTTGGAAGAATAGAACTTTGATAGGGACACTGGTGAAACTAAGAAGACTAAAAAGACACAGGTGCATGTCAGAGGAATGTATGGAAGTAGATCCTATTTTTTCATAACAAATACAGAGTAAGCATATGAGGCTATGAAGATGTCAAACAAAGATCAGACCAGAGCATATTGTTCATTCCACTAAGGAATTTGCATTTAAGCAGCTAAGAGCCACATTAAAAAATTAAGGAAAATTGTATTCATTCACTAAATGTTGGTTCATTATCATATGCTAAGCACTAAAGAAGGAAAGAAAATTTGTACCCTTGAGGAATTTACATTCTATGTAGAGATGAGAAATAATCCTACAAGTTATCAAATAACTTTTAATCATAGCAATTTGGAAAACTACTGGAATGTTTTGAGAGGAAACATTACTTGAAGCTTTCTAGCTTTGAGGATAAGCTGAAAGGATGATGGCAGATACAGTGATATAATTAAGCAATTGTATTAATATAAATACAATTCCACACATATCATGGTGCCGATAATTGAACTATGCATCTTGAACATTCTAGGGAAGTACTGTACCACTGAGCTACATCCCAGCATCATAGTGTTATAGAACAGAAGAATAGACTGTGGTCAGAGTAGAGTGAATAAGTGTTACTGACAGCTGGATATGGTGGCAGATGACTTATCCACTTAGTATGCTGGGATAGGAGGATCACAAACCCATCCTGAGCTACTGAGTTCTATGCCAACTACCTAGCAAGACCCTGCCTTAAAAAGAAAAATAAAAAGTGGTTGGATACAAACCCATAGTTTAGGAGGAAATTTCTAAGTAGATCTATAAACTGGGGAGTTATCAGACCATAGATGGGATTTGAAGCCATTTATGAAACTTGATGAGATCACCCAGGAAGTGAGGTAGAACACAGAATTGGGGAAAGAGATGGGTTCCTGGACACTCCAGTATTTTGAGGTTTAAAGACAGGCAAACAGAGAAGGAACTGCTAAGCAAGACTTGATATATCAACCAGAAATAAGATTAAAAGCCAAAAGTCTATATTGAGAAAACCAAATAAAGGAAATGTTTTAGAAAAGAGGATATTGTAGGGCTAGTAGTATAGACCCATAATTCCAGCTGTTTGGGAGACGGAGATAGTATAGATTCAAGGCTTCACCGGGCCTCGAATTTGAGTTTAAGGCCAATATGGGTAACTTAGCAAGAACCTGTAGTGACAATTTTGGAATTCTAGTATCTTTAAAAAACATAAAAGAATATACTTTCATTTTAATCCCAGATGTGAGGATATGGGGCTGCTTCAAAACAGCTGACTACAATTTGCCTCATGCACTAGCAGAGGTGTGGTTCTGCCAGCTGCGTATAGTTTCTTCCATTACCTGACAGATTTGGAATTCTGGGAAATTTTCAGAGGGTATATAAATGCTAGGGCCCCTAGAGATGGGTTTGGTGGTTATTGGTTGTTCGAGGGGGCTGGTTGCAGTTTGTTAGTAATCAAAGAAACAAAAGAAATTAGAGAAATTAGATTCAGGAATCTCTCTCCCTCTTCTTCATCTACTTCTCCCTCCTTCTTCTCTGCTCTCCCCTTCTCTTCTGCTCTCTCCCCTTTCCCATCTATCCTTATTTCTTTCCTATCTATTGTTAGGGGGTGAAACAAGGCAGGGCAATAAAAGGTGGGAAAAAGAAGACCTCACAAAATAGCAAAGACAGCTACAGGCCCTTTCAAAATATTTTAAAGACTGGAAGACCTGAACGTGCTGCACACCTGTAATCCCAGCATTGAGAGACTGAAGCAGGAAGTACCTCAAATTCAGGACCAAGCTGGGCTATGGAGAGACCAGGATCAACAAAGAAGTGAGATTGGAGATATAGCTCAGTAGTAGAACATTCACCCAACATATGGGGGGAAGGAGGGAGAAATAAACAAGGGAAGATGGGCAGCATGTAAGAACCACTGCCTACCATCTGTGAGTTCCTATGGGGGAAAGGACAAAGAAAAGAAGATATCACAAGCTATACTAGATACTGTGGCAAAGTCAGGTAATATGAGAACTGAAAAATTGATCATTGGATTTAGCAGTACAGTTGCTGGTGACCTTGATGAGCAATGGGAGGGTACTCAAGACTACTTCTTGATTTGTTTGTTTCAGGATGTTAAGTCAGAGTACAGCAGAAAATGTCCACCGAACGAACATCATGGACAAACTTGTCCACTATTCAGAAAATAGCCCTAGGCCTTGGAATTCCAGCAAGTGCAACAGTTGCCTATATCCTGTATCGTCGATATAGGGAAAGCAGAGGTGTGTGGTGACCTATGCCGTTCTCGCAGTACTCCAGCTCTTCCTTTTGTTAAGTTGAAATGAAAGCTGTACTTGCCATAACAGTACTGTTTGTTAAAGTATAATTGGTTCTATGAGAGAAACATGAATATATGTCATTTCTTTCTTTGTTATTAGAAAGCTAGTTTATAAAGGAAACTCATGGTGTCATTGACTTTTCCCCATACAAAACCAACTATGTAATTTTTAAATATATACTCATTCTGCTGCTTCTCTCCAGCTGTCAGATGATAGGCAGCAGCTGGACCTAGAGAACAGGTTTCAAAGAAATGACTAGTATAAAAATAAGTTTTTAGACTAATGAAAGCCTCAGAAAACTCCTAGCCTTCACTTGTCTTAGAGTACCATCCTAAAAACTCAACTTTTATTCTCCAGAGTCTTCTTTCTCCATATTAACGTCTGAAATAGTATCCCAAAGAAAATGGCAAATGGTCTTTGGAGGAAGGCCGGCAGAGTGCTAGGGATTGAAATCCCCTCTGTATGCACTGTTCCCTTACCTCTAAGCTATATACCCATCCCAGCTCTGGTCTTTTGGGACCTTCTGATCACACTCAGATGCTGTATCTTCCATTGTGGTTAAGAGCCACAGTTTGCCTCTTAGATTAGTGTCTCTGACAGCCTGATTCAGGGGAGGGGTAGTAGTAGCTGTAGTATATTTAAGTCTGGTCTGTCATGGTCTGCACAGAAGAGAGATTGACATTTGTTGGAGAAGATGACATTGAGATAGAGATGCGAGTTCCCCAGGAGGCTGTGAAGCTCATCATTGGTCGACAAGGAGCCAATATTAAACAGGTAAGTGTGTGAGCAGGCTAATGGCTTTCCCAGGCACCAAATCTATTTACTGACTCCTTGTTTCCTTCCTCTGACCACATTTACCAAACACCCATGACACATATATTTTTAAAAGAAAAAAAATACAGGGACTTACTAAGCTAACAGCAATGTTTTCCTTTTAAAAATGAGAACTTCTGCTCAGATGGTAGATGACTAAGCTTGAAATGGTATTTGATTAGATGATTCTTAACTTGATATAGCATGAATATTTTTATTAGGTAGTTAATGAACTTCCATTAAATGACAATAATGAATTGCTGCCTACATATTCTTCCGTCTTCCATTGTTCAGCTGAAATGTCAAGAAAGCAAAATCATTTTGCTGGGAATGTGGGTCATTGGTAAAGTACTTACTAGCATTGGGAGGATTGGGGTTGATTAGATAGATAGATAGATAGATAGATAGATAGATAGATAGATAGATAATGTTTATTTGCTAATCCAAACAAAATTAGAGAACAAACAGATGTAATCACAGAGATAAATGATTTTCAATTAACTACTATTTGGATTACCTTTGTCACTAATTTTAAATTATAAATACAAATAAATGAGGTCCATTAGTAGTCTCTTGATTTAGCTGAGGCTTATGGCCAGCTCCACCTGTCTCCCCAGAGTTTGATGGAGTATCCTTAGCTAGTCCCAAATTGAAGATCTTTAAAGTGTATGTCTCCTTCTCTCTACAGTTGCGGAAACAGACAGGTGCTCGGATTGATGTGGACACAGAGGATGTAGGCGACGAACGAGTGCTGCTCATCAGTGGTTTTCCTGTTCAGGTGTGCAAGGCCAAAGCAGCAATCCATCAGATCCTGACAGAGAACACCCCAGTGTTTGAGCAACTCTCCGTCCCCCAGAGATCTGTGGGCAGGATCATAGGTATCACTGGACAGCTGCCTCTGCTCTTTGCTTTACTCTTTACCTCTGCCTGTCTTTTCCACATTTCTGAGGGGTTTCTGGCCTCCCCTTCACTTTGTTAGGAAAAAAGATACACTTAGTTCAGAACTTTACTTTCCTTCAGAACTGGTGTTTCTTTAAAAAAAAAAAAATCAAGAAGCAGTATGATCAGAGTCTTTCAAACAGGTTTGTATGGGTCAGCAAAATGGCTCAGTGAATAAAAGGTACCTGCTGCCTAAGCCTGATAACCTGAGTTCCATCCCGGGCCTCACATGGTAGGAGGAAAGACCCCAGTCACCCTCTGACCTCCACACATGTGCTACGGTACACTCTGGTCCACACAAACACACACATGTACACAGAAAATAATAAAGACTTAATTTTTAAAAATAGGCTTTTATAGGGATGCTAGAGATGCTCAGAGTACCCTATACCTTCGAAGACAGTGATCCAGAGAGTACTTGCTATGCTTTTCCCTGGACCATGCTTTAGTGCTACTATTAGAGGCAAAGAAAGGTCTGTCCTCAGTCCAGGATTCTGAAACACCCTGTACCATATGTCTTACAGATGAAAATATAAGGTATTTTTGCTTTGTAGCTAGAAAGTGGGAAATGACTTGAAGTTAATCTATCCAAAGCATAAGTTTAAATAAAATGGTTACAATGGAGTCTTATATTCTTTTCTCCTGTAGTTATTTCATTAGCTCCTTATTCCCATTTATTGTCTTGCATTCTATCAAATTGGTTATGAACCTACTTCTTTTTATAACATGCACAAAGTAGTGATTTCTCTTAGAGTGATTGTTGGCCTAGAACAAAGGACAGGTTTTTCTGTATTAATGTAGGGAGAGGTGGTGAGACGATTCGTTCTATCTGTAAGGCTTCTGGAGCCAAAATCACTTGTGACAAAGAATCAGAGGGAACATTACTACTCTCAAGACTTATAAAAATCTCAGGAACACAGAAGGAAGTGGCAGCAGCTAAGGCAAGTATACTGAGAATAAGAGTGACCCATTTGGCCATCCTGTCAGTATCTGACTACACAGAAGTGACCCTCTCTTGTTTCCCACAGCATCTGATACTGGAGAAAGTTTCAGAAGATGAAGAACTTCGGAAGAGAATAGCCCATTCTGCAGAAACCAGAGTCCCACGAAAGCAGCCAATCAGTGTGAGAAGAGAGGAAGTGACAGAGCCTGGTGGAGCTGGAGAAGCAGCTTTATGGAAAAATACCAATTCTAGCATGGGACCAGCTGCACCCCTGGAAGTTCCTCTCCGCAAAGGAGGTGGTGATATGGTTGTTGTAGGACCAAAAGAAGGTTCCTGGGAGAAACCTAATGATGACAGCTTTCAGAATTCTGGTGCCCAGAGCAGTCCAGAGACGTCCATGTTTGAAAGTATGTAATGAAGAGGAGCTTATTAACCATATGAAAGACAGGAATACTGGATTTAACTGGCCTAAAATAGGAAACAATTAAAAGTTCTGTTTTTGTGATTTCCATCTCTGTCATCATAGATAATACTTTTCTGGTAATATTTTACTTAGATTAATACCAAACATTAATAATAAATTTTGAGTACAGCTAGTGAAGAAAAATAAGATAGAAATATGTTGACAAAGGAAACAGATCTGAGTAATACATCAAATAATTAAATTTTATTATATCCTCTTTCTACACATATTTTGTGTGTGTATGTGTGTGTATGCGCACCTGTGCATGTGTGTGTACATGTATATGCTATGCCCTATGTGTGTTTATGCAGGATGGGCTGGCGTGTGTGTCCACATGAGTGCATGTATACATGTGCATGAAGGCTAGAGATTAGCTTTGCATGTTGCTCCCCAAAACCATTCACCTTTTTTTTTTTTTTTCAGACAAAGCCTCTTCACTGAGACCTAGGGTTTGCTGATTAGACTAGACTAACTGGCCTCTGAGCCTCAGGGATCCCCCATCTGTGCCCCATCTAGCACAGGGGTTGAGATTACAAGCATATACCACCATACCTGATTTTTATGTGGGAGCTGGGGACAGTCCTCATGCTTGCATGGCAAGTACTTAACCATATGGAACCATAATTTTTTTCTTAAACACTTATTTTAAATCATATTTTTACTTTACCTTGAGAAACTTCATATGAGTGAACAATATTTTTTGCTAGCTAAAGTTCCCCTGTGCTCCTCAAATACATCTTCCTCCCAACTTCATTTTTTTTTATAATCCCCTATGTCCAGGTAGTACTACCCGTATTTGTGTGAGTGTGGGCCATCCACTGGGGCTTGAGTAACCTATGAGTGGCTACATTCCCAAAGAGAAGTGACTCTCCGTCCCTCAGCATCCAACAACTGCCAATATTTCCTCAGCTAAACATAGGGCCTCAGGAGCCCCTCCCTGATCCATGCTGGGATTGTAACTGGCTTGATCTTGTGCAGGTAACCACAGCTCTGTGAGTTCATGTGTGCAACCACCATATAATACCCAAAAGACACATTTTACAGCTCCTCATATTCTGGTTCTTAATTCTTTCTGTCCCCTCATTCATGATACTCTCTGAGCCTGGGTAGAAGGTGGGGATGAGGACTGCTGTAGGTCTCCCATTTGTCACTAAGCACTCATATCTAGGCATACTTTTTTGCATAAGAAATTCTCAGCCCAGTTTTTATGTTGCCTGTCTCATTACTGTTTCTAAATGTCATTGAAGAATGAAATGGCCATCGGTTTCCTCTCCTATGCAAAGATGCTAGCTTGAACAAGAAAGGACAGAGCCCCTAAAAGATATTAATGGGCTTGCCTAGGTTCACATAATACATCCCTAGTAGAATAGAATCTTTAATGAGCAGGATTGCTATCTGTGTTCTTTTTTATTGATCCTGCCAGACCTAACAGATGGAGGATTAATCTTCACTATAATTGATGCCTCATTTGAGTACGTGAAGAATGACAGTATAAACCTAGTTACATCAAAAGACATATATGATAACTTAGTACCTTTCTTCAGGACATTTTATATGAGTCACCAAGTTGTCTCTAACCATTTCTAAAGTGGTAAACAGCCACTGGGTATTTGAGACTTTCATCTTCCTGATGCAATCTCCCCATTCCAATCAAAGATGGTACTGATATGGTCACCATCCTTACCCCTGTGTTCAGTTCCCAGTCCTGACTTCAGTTTCCATGCTGATGAGTACCTAGAAGTCTACGTTTCTGCTTCTGAACACCCTAACCACTTCTGGATCCAAATCATTGGTTCCCGCAGCTTACAGCTGGATAAACTTGTCAGTGAGATGACCCAGCACTATGACAATAGTCTGGTGAGTTGCCATAGGGAGAAAGCTAGTCTGGGGCTTTTTGTTGTTGTTGTTCACTGTAATATGTTCCCTTCCTTCTGATGTCCTGTTTATTAGCTACCACTTTATAATAACCCCTCTTGACTTCCTATCCCCATGTGTAGCCTGAAGACTTGACTGTGCATGTAGGAGACATTGTAGCAGCACCTTTATCTACAAATGGTTCCTGGTATCGAGCCCGAGTTCTTGGAACCTTGGAAAATGGAAACTTGGACCTCTACTTTGTTGACTTTGGAGATAATGGAGATTGCCCACTAAAGGATCTCAGGGCTCTCAGGTAGGTGCAGAAGCCAGAATAGAATCTGCTAGAATCCCAACTGTTGGTTCACTCCTGGCCATAAAGTTGCAAGCTATTGGCACATATCATCAAGAGGATTTAGAAGGGAACATGTGATACCTGGGATTCTAATTTCAGTTTCTTTCATTTTAGGAGTGACTTTCTAAGCCTCCCATTTCAAGCAATAGAATGCAGTCTGGCACGGATTGCCCCCTCAGGTAAACCAGTCATGCCACCTATTGATTTTAACTCCAAATGAGCAACTTTCATACAGCACATAAAAAGAATTCTCATATTCCCAGGCTTTTTGAGTTTTGGAGACCTGAGTGCCTTTTCCTTATCAGTACTTGAAAGCACAGAAACTTGCTTGGCAGTCAGATGCAAACTCACCACAGAAGAACATAAGTATATTCCTGGGAAGAAAAATGTAGTTTCAGTTTCTCTCCAGGGTGTATTTCTATTCTTAACAGCATTGACCTACTCTTATCTGCTCTGAGGCTCAGCCCCCTCTTCCCCTATGATCTTTTTCCAGGTGAAGAGTGGGAAGAGGAAGCTCTAGATGAGTTTGACAGACTCACTCACTGTGCTGACTGGAAGCCTCTGGTGGCCAAAATTTCTAGCTATGTCCAGACTGGAATCTCAACTTGGCCAAAGATCTACTTATATGATACCAGCAATGGGAAGGTACGGGTGAGGTTCATACACTGCTTATTGCATCATCCATGTTTTCTGGCCCAGAAACCCTTACCTGATATCACTACTACTTTGGAATATCTGCTAACCATCTCACCCCATTTCAGTTGCAAATTTGCTCTCACTTACAGGAGAACATTCATTTTTCATTTTCAGAAACTTGATATTGGGCTAGAATTAGTTCATAAAGGATATGCAGTTGAACTTCCTGAAGACATGGAAGAAAACAGAACTGTCCCAGATATGTTGAAGGACATGGTAAGTCGTTGTAATTTACAGTGCTACTTCCAAGAAAGTCTAATGCATAGAGGCACAGTGAAAATGTGTAGCCATAATATTTTATCAATTTTACAAAATTTTAATGAATTTTTATATGTGTGTGTACTTAGCCTACATGTATATCTTTATACCATATGCATGTAGTGCCTGAGGAAGCCAGAAGAGGGTTTTGAATCCCCTGGATCTGGATTTAACAGACCGTTGTAAGCTGCTGGAAGGTGCTGGGAACTAAACCTGGGTCATCTGGAAGAACAATTGTGTTAGCTTCTGTGCCATCTCCATAGCTCCTATCTTTTAATCATGTGTATGTGTGTGAGTGTATGCCAGATGTGTAAGTACCCGAGAAGGCAAGAGGCATTGGATCTCCTGAAGGTGAAGTAACAGGAGACTGTGAGTCATTTAACATGGACTGGGAATCTGTCTCAAGGTTTACTTCATTTTTCAGGCTGATTAAAAATGTGATTAAAGACATCATGTTTCTCAGCAGCCAAACATTGCTTTAACCAATACCTATGATCAAAATGATAGACCACCAGTCAAGATACTCTTTACTTTTTCTCTTCTTCCATGCCCTAAGGCCACAGAAACAGATGATTCTCTTGCAAGCATACTCACTGAGACAAAAAAGAGCCCTGAAGAGATACCACATACCCTGTCCTGCCTCAGCTTATCAGGTATAAACAGCGATAATTTATTACAACAGCCATGAAAATTACCTTTTCTTAGTCTGTCCAGATTAGGAAGGTTAAGTTGAAACTTGGTTCTAGGACTAGAGAATGTGTCTTGGTTGATAGAGTACTTGACTAGCATGCACAAAGCCCTGGATTATATTCCCAGCTGAGTATGACACACTTAGGAGAGGGACATATACCTATAATTCCATCATTCATGAGTGGAGGGACAAGTATCACAAAGTCATGGTCCCACTCAGCTACATAGAGAGTTTAAGGTCAACCTACACTGCATGAGATCCTATCTAAAAACCACTTGATTCTGAGGACAGTCACCCTTTTTTCCCCTGAGCCTCAGTGGCGGTGCCTGTTAGAATAAAGCAATCTTACTTCCTCATTTCTGTTTGGTAGAAGCTGCCTCTATGTCTGGTGATGATAACCTTGAAGACGACTTATTCTGAAACCTGGACTTCAGCTGCTGGATCAGCCCTCTGCTTTGCTGTGTGAGTGGTGCTGTCATCTATCTGTAGCAACAGGAAAGTAATGGGATGACAGCACCCTCTTCCCTGTGCTCCTACATGTCTACATTTCTCTGCGGCATCTTTGATACAGCTTAACTTGCTTTCAGAGTCCTTTTAAGTTTTTTTTTTTGTTTGTTTCTATGTCTTTGGCAGGGTGTGGTGCCAGAGGGAAGTCCAAGATAGAGAGATCCATGAAGTTCTTTACTTCACATGGTGTGGCTTGCTGTGGATCAAATTCATTTTCTGTTTCATTGGATCTACCAGAAAGTGACAGAGACAAATGGAAACAGATTTCTCCACCTCACTCCTCTAGTTCCTCCCCTATCTTTCAATGTTTGAATGCTGCTGTGTAATTCCCAGCCTCTTCATATCAGGTTCAGTTCCCTCTGCCAGTCATAATTTGCATTACTGCTGGGCTATGTTCTTTTTGAGGCTGGGAAACAGCCAAGGTTTGGGCATTGAAGTGATGATTCTGCAGATTTCTGACTCACCTAATCAGGTGACTGTAGTTATAGGAAGTATTTGGTGGACTCAGAAGACTGCAGTTGCCAGGAGATAAGGCAAAACTCAGCATAAATATATTTAAAAGCCTCATAAATGGGGGAAGAGAGTACTACCTCTCAGCCTCAGTTGCTGAGGTTATTGGAGACAGGTTTTTTGAAACAGTCCTCCAGCTATTTCCTTGTGAACTTTAGTTAAAAATACAACTAGAAGGGAGAAGCAACTTAGGAAACGTTGTGAACTACAAATATCTGTCTATGTACATACACAACTAGAGAGAGTGAATGTATAGTTCTGCCTAAGTAATTTAGGGGAATTGTTTGCTAAATAAAGTTCTCAAAAAAATTATCTAAAACCGCATAGTCACAACTTGGAAGTAGGCCTGTGGGTAAAGTTTCTTCTGTGTAAGCCTTGGTAGTAATTGCCAGTGCCTCACATACAGAGGCATCCTGAAACAAATGTCCTTCCCATGCATGCATCCACACTCTTCCCCTGAAGTCACTGCAGAATTCCACTACTCCCTCAGATCCATAACCAGTTTCAGTTATGTACACAAAACCTACTTACACTGTAAGAGAAGGCCTGTATTAGGAGTCTAGAAATCTGGGTTCTAGAAGTAAGTCTTCACTATAAACGTACTTTCCTTCTAGCATCTTTCCATTGCTGACAGTATTGCAAGATAGCACTGAGACTTGTGACAGGACCTAAAATTAAATACAAATGCACAATGATACAACAAATGAACTTTAGGAAACAAAGCAAGGTGAAGTGGTAAATCTAAAATGAACACATGGATGCTTCATGTAGGCTTCTTTAAACTCGAGGGTTAGTAGCTGTGCCTGGTGTCCCAGGCCTATACCCAGCTACACTTTGAGGACAAGGCAAGAGAGTGAAAGTTAAAGGCCATGCCTGAGCAACTTAGTAAGATGCTGCCTCAAAAAGAGGATAGGGATGTACCTCAGTGGTGTGGTACTTCTGTGTCATTTACAACATCCCAAATTAGCAGAAAGAAATCAAGGAAGGGGCAGTTTGAGCATCTCTTATACTCCTAGAGAAGCCAAGACAGGCTCCTATTAATGTTCCAGGTTCTGGCTGTAGTGAACCATTGAAGTGTGTTCAGCCAGGCATTGGAGTTACTACACAACAGACTCTGGAGGCCATTTTGTCTCTAGTTTCCTTGGTGCTTCTTTCCCTCAGGGATGGAGGTCATAAGACCTGCAGTTCATTGTGTAAAAAGCCTATTAAAACCATCTGAAAAGATGCTCAGAGATCAAGAACACTCTGCTGTTATAGAAAATGCAGGTTCCAATCACAGCACCCACATGGTAGCTCACAACCATCTGTTAATTCTAGTCACAGGGGACCTAGTTCTCTCCTCTAACCTTTGTGTGCACCAGGTATGCATGTGGTGTACATCTATACATGTAGGCAAAACACTTATACATGTCTAAATTTTTTTTAAAAATTAAATACAGCTGGGAAGTGGTGGTGCACGCCTTTAATCCCAGCACTTGGGAGGCAGAGGCGGGTGGATTTCTGAGTTCGAGGCCAGCCTGTTCTACAGAGTGAGTTCCAGGACAGCCAGAGATACACAGAGAAACCCTGTCTCGAAAAACCAAAAAAAAAAATAATTAAATATAATTATGGTACACACCTATCCTCAGCACTTGAGGGGTTGAAGTGAAAGAATTAACTTGAGGCCCATCTCTGCCACACAGTTACACAGTGTGTTTGAGGCCAGCCTGAGCTACATGACACCCTGTTCCTTTCCCCCTCAAAACCCCTATTTTTTTTTTTTATTGGATGATTTATTTACATTTCCTATGTTGTCCCCTTACCCCATCCCCCACCACCCCCTCGGAACCCCCAATCCCCTCGCCCCTCCTCCTTCTTCTCTGTGGATGTAACCTCTATCTACACCCCCCCACTCCCACCTCCCCACCCTCAAAAGTCCCACCCCCTGGGGCATCCAGCCTTCATGAGGTCAAGGTTCTCTTCTTCCACCTATGCCCAGCAGGGCCCTCCACTTTTACATATTCAGCTGAAGCCCTGGATCCCCCCCTAAGTGCTCCCAGGCTGGTGGTTTAGACCCTGGGAGCTGTGGTTGGTTGGTATTGTTGCTCTCCTCATGGTGCCACAAACCCTTTCAGCTCCTTCAGTCTTCACTCTAACTCCTCTATTGAGAACCCCATGATCAGTTCAATGGCTAGTTGTGAGCATCTGCCTCTGAATATGTCTGACTCTTGAAGGCCTCTGAGGAGATATCCATATCAGGCTCTTATCAGCATGCACTTCCTGTCTTCCACATCAGCATCTACCTTTGGTGATTGCACATGGGATAGATACTCAGGTGGGGTGGTCTTGAGACGGCTCCTCCTTCAGTTTCTGTCCCTCACTTTGTCTCCATATTTGCTCCCTTGAGTATTTTGTTGCTCCTTCTAAGAAGGACCGAATCACCCTCACTTGGTCTTCCTTCTTTATGGACTTCATGTGGCCTGTGAGTTGCATCTTGGGCATTTCAAGGTTCTAGGCTAATATCCAATAATCAGTGAGTGAATACCATGTGTCTTCTTTTGTGATTGGCTTACCTCACTCAGGATGATAATTTCTAGTTCCATCCATTTACCTAGGAACCTCTCGAATTCATTGTTTTTAATAGCTGAGTAATACTCCATTGTGTAAATATACCACATTTTTTGAATCCATTCCTCAGTTGAAGGACATCTGGGTTCTTTCCAGCTCCTGGCTATTATAAATAAGGCTGCTATGAACATAGTTGAGCATATGTCCTTGTTATATGTTCGAGCATCTTCTGGGTATATGCCTAGGAGTGGTATAGCTGGATCCTCGGGTAATGCTATGTCCAATTTTCTGAGGAACCGCCAGACTGATTTCCAAAGTGGTTGCACCATCTTGCAGTCCCACCAACAATGGAGGAGTGTTCCTCTTTCTCCACACCCTCGCCAGCATCTACTATCACTTGAGTTTTTAATCTTAGCCATTCTGACTGGTGTGAGATGGAATCTCAGGGTTGTTTTGATTTGCATTTCCCTGACGACTAAGGATGCTGAACATTTCTTTAGATGCTTCTCGGCCATTCGAGTTTCTTCCGTTGAAAATTCTTTGTTAAGCTCTATACCCCATTTTTTAATAGGGTAATTTGGTTGTCTGGAGTCTAATTTCTTGAGTTCTTTGTATATATTGGATATTAGCCCTCTATCAGATGAAGGATTGGTAAAGATCTTTTCCCAATTTGTTGGTTGTCGTTTTGTCCTATTGACAGTGTCCTTTGCCTTACAGAAACTTTGCAATTTTATGAAGTCCCATTTGTCAATTCTCGATCTTAGAGCATATGCCATTGGAGTTCTGTTCAGGAACTTTTCCCCTGTGCCCAAGTATTCGAGGCTTTTCCCCACCTTCTCTTCTATTAGTTTCAGTGTATCTGGTTTTATGTGGAGGTCCTTTATCCACATAGACTTGAGCTTTGTACAAGGGGATAAGAATGGATCAATTTTCATTCTTCTACATGTTGTCTTCCAGTTGAACCAGCACCATTTGTTGAAAATGCTGTCCTTTTTCCACTGGACAGTTTTAGCTCCTTTGTCAAAGATCAAGTGACCATAGGAGTGTGGGTTCATTTCTGGGTCTTCAATTCTATTCCATTGATCTTCCTGCCTGTCTCTGTACCAATACCAGGTAGTTTTTATCACTATTGCTCTGTAGTACAGCTTGAGGTCAGGGATGGTAATTCCTCCAGAAGTTCTTTTATTGTTGAGAATAGTTTTCACTATCCTGGGTTTTTTGTTATTCCATATGAATTTGAGAATTTCCTTTTCTAACTCTGTGAAGAATTGAGTTGGGATTTTAATGGGGATTGCATTGAATCTGTAGATTGCTTTTGGCAAGATGGCCATTTTTATTATATTAATCCTGCCAATCCATGAGCATGGGAGATCTTTCCATCTTCTGAGATCTTCTTCAATTTCTTTCTTCAGAGACTTGAAGTTCTTGTCATACAGGTCTTTCACTTGCTTGGTTAGATTCACACCAAGGTATTTTATATTATTTGCAACTATTGTGAAGGGTGTCATTTCCCTAATTTCTTTTTCAGTCTGTTTATCTTTCATGTAGAGGAAGGCTACTGATTTGTTTGAGTTGATTTTATAACCAGCCACTTTGCTGAAGTTGTTTATCAGGTTTAGGAGTTCTCTGGTGGAAGTTTGGGGGTCACTTAAGTATACTATCATATCATCTGCAAATAGCGATATTTTGACTTCTTCCTTTCCTATTTGTATCCCTTTGACTTCTTTTTGCTGTCTAATTGCTCTGGCTAAGACTTCCAGTACTATATTGAATAGGTAGGGGGAGAGTGGGCAACCTTGTCTAGTCCCTGATCTTAGTGGGATTGCTTCAAGTTTCTCTCCATTTAGCTTGATGTTGGCTACTGGTTTGCTGTAAATTGCTTTTACTATGTTTAGGTAGGGGCCTTGAATTCCTGATCTTTCCAAGACTTTTATCATGAAGGGATGTTGAATTTTGTCAAATGCTTTCTCAGCATCTAGTGAGATGATCATGTGGTTTTTTTCTTTAAGTTTGTTTATATAGTGGATTACATTGATGGATTTCCGAATATTGAACCATCCCTGCATTCCTGGGATAAAACCTACTTGATCATGATGGATGATTGTTTTGATGTGGTCGTGGATTCGGTTTGCTAGAATTTTATTGAGTATTTTTGCATCGATGTTCATAAGGGAGATTGGTCTGAAGTTCTCTTTCTTTGTCGGGTCCTTGTGGGGTTTGGGTATGAGTGTAATTGTAGCTTCATAGAACGAATTGGGTAGTGTTCCTTCTGTCTCTATTTTGTGGAATAGTTTGAAGAGAATTGGTATTAGGTCTTCCTTGAAGGTCTGATAGAATTCAGCAATAAAACCATCTGGTCCTGGGCTTTTTTTAGTGGGGAGGCTTTTGATGACTGCTGCTATTTCCTGAGGGGTTATGGGACTATTTAGATGAAAACCCCTATTTTTTAATGTGTTCATTATGTCTTGTCAGTTTATATCTCATCCTGTGAATCTTCTGCCAATTTTCGAGTACTTCTGTTGTCTGAAATGCCCTCTTGTTATCTCTTGTAGTTCTTCCCTTAGGATGTATTTACTTTTCTCTGGTTTTCTCCACATCCAAAGAGAAGCAATTGGCATGTTTCCAGTTTAAGTTGAAATACATAAATGCATCCTAGCAAGGCTTTGTCTCTGTGAGTTTCTAGCTGACTAGTAACTTATTATGGCAGATGCTCACTAAATGAGAATGAAGAAAATGGTTTAGCAGTAAGGAGTAGGCCAAGGAAGCCCTCCCATGTCTGACTCAGGTTCCTCTGATTTTCTTAGATCTTATGTCATGCAGTGAATTTATCTGTGTAAGAGTTATATTCCTCCAACAGTTCCTTCCCCCAAGAAATAACGAACACTTTGATTGCACTACCCTTTATTTCCTAGGATGGAAGTGTCTTAAATCACATCCTGGGCCCCAGAGTCCCGTGTGTTGAGGTTTCCAACCCCTCACAGAGATGGAATATGTTTAGGGAGGCTCACTGGCCAGGCTGGCCAAGGTCCCTTTCAAGGGGATACACCATGAAGATGACATTGTCCCAGGGAGGGAGGGCAGGATGATCTGGTCTGACCACCTCGAAGCCCATGTAGCTAAAAGCTCGCAGCAGGGCGCCTGCAGAAGAACAGAACAAATGATTAGAACACCCACTGAAGCTCAGCTCATACACTCCTAATAGATGTTTTCTCCAGGGAGTGACTGGCAAGCAGTGTAGTGCAGGCATAGGGCGTGCATTGGAGTGATAGACACAGGCTCTACCCTGCATTTAATACTCACTTTAAATTCTAGTTAACCTTTCAGATCTCCAGTTTACTTGTTTGCAAAGTGAGAATGAGAACCTTCCTCATAGATTTAAGATGTAATTGTTCAAGCATGTAGTGTAATTAAACTGCGCCTGGGGATTTTTTGGTGGAGTGGGGGTTGTGTGTTTGGTTTGGTTGATTGGGTTTGGTTTTGTTATTGGTTTTGATTTTTTTAGTTTTGGTTTTGGTTTGAAATGAGACCTCACTATGTAGCCAATTTGACCTTGAGTGCATAAGAATTCTGCCTTCGCTTTTCAAATGCTGAGATCACAGGCTTGTACTACAATACCCAGCTCATCTTGTCTTATATCCAGCAGAGTATAAACTCTTTGAGAGATGAGCAATAACATATTACATCTGGTTAAATATATTCCTGTCCTCTAGCCTTACTACTGTGAAAGCTTGATACATCTGTTTGACATCCTTTGTTAGTCCACCATGTATGTCCCTTTAATGGATTCTGTAACTTCTTCCATGCTTCTTATTCATCCAGCTGTAGTGGGACTGAACATAATGTTATGTGCCTTCATTTCCTTTGCAACAGAAGTGGAGACAGGGCACTGAAGTGCCAGAGGGAAGAGGGACACACCTCTGTCCTTCCGATCGCTTTGGAAGTTCACAAACACAGAGTCCACATTGGTTTTCTCCTCCACATACTCCAGTGTTGCTGTCAAACTAGAGGCCAGAGAGAAAGTTAATACTTAGATAACTCAGAATCCAAACAGACAGAACAGGAGAAATACTGGCAAGTGTTTGCTCTCTACCTACTGAAACTGGAAAATAAAAAGTTGCTAAAGGAGTTTGGGAGCATTTCTCTGAAGCAAGGGATTCCACCTGGTTGAGGTGAATGTCACAGATGGCTCGTGGAGGAGAGGACTGCTGAACAGCTGGAAAGTATTCAACTATTTTGGATATTCACTTTAGTGTCCCTGAGTCCAGCAACTGACCCTCAACCTAAAATTATCCCTTAAACCCCAAACTCTTGTCTGTGTGCTACTAGTGTGTTTTGTGTGTCTGATCCACCCATAGAGTCACTGTGACATGATAAAGGGTGAAATACCCCAACTCTTCCCCATGCCCATCCAGGTCCTCACCTTTCTCGGTTGCCTTGATCCAAGGCCTGATATGGGATATCCAGGAAGAGTCGGTGGTCACACAGAAGGCCGTGCCAATGAGCAGAGGAATGGGGGGTAAGACGAAAGTGGAAGTCTAACTGAACTGGATCTTGGTGAAGCAGGGGGTCAGTTGATAGCACTGTCAGGTTCCCAGCCTGGAAAATAAAGTTGAAGTATTAATCTGTGCTCATTTCATCCTCAGATCACACCTAAGGCAAACTGAGGTGCCTTTGTAGAATCAAGAAGAGGCAAATGAAGACTAGAAAGTCAGAATATTAAGAGATGTAACAATATTCCTTAGTCCTAGGAATAGCCATCCCATACTGAGTTCTACTTGCTGTCAAATACCTGGAGTACTATCCAGTACTGGGAAGCTCAGGGTGCCATCTTGCTCATGCTATATCCACAGCCCCACAGCCCCACTTTTACTTATTTTGTAAAGTTGGGAAATAAGGTCTTGCTAGGTTGCCGAGGCTAGCTTTGTGTTCACTCTGTAATCTAGGCAGCCCTTTCAAGAAGGTGAGATACAGGCCTACTATCACCAGTCAGTCTCTAAAGTACTTTATGTCCCGAAGTCCCATGATAATCTGTTATACCTACTTTTCCTATCCTGCTGTTGGCTACTAGCTATTTGACTTTTAGATCTCTGGGCCAGAATCCATCTAGAAAGCGTAGATTTTACACATGAGCTCAGGGTCCTACCTATTCTGATTTTTATGGTTATCAACTGGCTAATGTTCTCTCAAAATCAAAAATCACAGAGCTGCCCTGTCACATCACCAGTTCATAGTCTACTTACTGAATAGAGTTCTTTAAGCTGGTTGTGGTCTTTTTCCTGTGCAGTGCTCCTACCCACCTGGGGGCCTCCTAGGGACTCAGGAGCACTGGAGGCAGGAGCATGGGAGGCAGGAGCACGGGAGGCAGCAATGGGGCCGGAGAGTCAGGTCCTCCTGTTCCTTGTAAGTGATGCTTGTTGGAAAAGAAAAACCCAAATTAGTGTACCTCAGAGCCTGGGATGAAGACGTGAACTATAAAGGTAGCTACCTGACTTCAGCTACACAGGACCAGTCTTCCAACACTGTTTCCTGTATCACCTATGAATTGATTGCAGGCTAACCAAACAGAAAAATTATACAAATCCATGCTAGGCTTCTACCCTGCCACTTAGCAAATTCTTTCAAGTTGTTTTATTTCCCTTATACTTTATGTAAATTAAAGTTGAAAACAAGTACCTTTTGTAACAACAAGGCAGCATCTTCTCCCGGAGGGTGATCCGGTATTTGTAACAGTAGAGGTAATAGGCGTATGGTGACCAGAACGGATAGAGGTAGTTCCGTGTTTTTCCCCTCTTGATATAAGAAAGGGAGTAGAGAGAGGGGCGGGACCTGTTACAAGGCAGTTTCTCTGTTCAGTGCCTCCCTGCAGCAAAGTGAGGTTGAGAGGATGAGTCGCAGAGGTTCAGGCCACCCTGTCCATTGTGACCTGGCAGGCACTGTGACATAGACATGAGGTCACTGCACTTCCCACTAACCAAGGTTCATATTCAACTAGTACACACTTTACAACTATAGCAATACTTAAGATGCTTTAAAACTTACATACTGGTTAACAAACATCCCTACCAGAGCTCTTTTTGTGCCTACCACCTTGGCCCTCCCTCTGGAACAATTCTAAATCCAGCAACTACAGAGTTGGTGTCTAATGCCACAGTAAGCTTCCAAGGCCCTGTTCCAACACTGACTTGATTAATAATTGTTTTCACAATTCTTTATTTTTGCCGTCATCCCTCCCCATAGCACAGAAGTACTACAAATTGCAGAACTTTCTCTGTTGTCTTTATAGTGCAGAAATCCCAAATTAAGCACCTCTAGGAAACTGTAATGCTACACACATCCTTAATTCTAGCAGTCAAGAGACAGGGATGATAGGATTGCTCAACATCTGGAACCAGCCTGGTTTGCAATAGCAAGATTTTGGCTGAACAGGGTCACATAGCAAACAAAACCCTGTTTCAAACACACACACAGCCAATGGAAATTAGTGGTTTCAGAGTTAATATATTAAAATGGTGAAAAGCTCACACCAACATAGCAATAAGTTGCTGTGCTAGACACAGAATCAGTTCTGCTAGATCTTAAAAATTTTCAACAGAAAATAGAAAGATTCCGTAATAAGTTACACATACACAAGAACAATTGTACTGGTTGATTTTATTTCAACTTGACACAAGCTTAGAGTCATCTAAGAAGTGATAAGCTCGACTGAGAATTTCCTGTGGACAAGCATATGGGGCATTTTCTTGATTGGTGATTGATGTGGGAGGTCTCAGCTCACTGTGTGCAATGCCCCCCTGAACTGGTGGTCCTGAGTGTTATAAGAAAGCAGCCTGAGGTTGAGCAACCCATGGAGAGCAAAGTAAACAGTATTCCTCCATGGCCCCTTCTTCAGTTCCTGTCTCAACTTCCTGCGCTGACTTCCTCAGTGATAAGAGCATAACCTGAGAGTTTTAGATGATATAAACCCTTTTCTCCCTAAGTTGGTTTTGGTTATGGTGTTTTATCACAGCAATAGAAAACCTAAGACACTGATCAAATTTAACATTGAGGGCAAAATTTGGTTCTAGAACCAACAGTTTGAGGCCTCTTTATTAACTATCAATTTAAATATTTATTGAGGGCCTGCTATGAGCCAGGTACCACTATGGTGCTTAAGGCATGTCAGTGAACTACAGATCTCTGCTCTATTTAAAGTGAGAGAGCCAGGTATTTATAAGTATATAGAAAATAAGTATGTCAGAAGAGAACTCTTAAAGGGGAAACAAAAATAATCAAGCCTGGTGTGGTGGCACACACCTTTAGTCTGAGCACTTGGGAAGCAGAAGCAGGCAGATCTTTTGAGTTCGAGGATAGCCTGGTCTATATAATGAGTTCCAGACCAACCAGAGCTACACTGTGAAACCCTATCTCAAAAAAAAAAAAAAAAAACACGAAAACAAAAACTAAATGGATTGGGAGTGTGGGGTATGCAGCAGAGTTTTGACACAGGTGATCTATGTAGGCCTCACTAAAAAGATGATAGATCAAAGACAAAGGGAGTCAAGATTGGCAGCCAGACAAGTATAGACGGGTGGGGATCTCTGAGTTCAAGACTAGCTTGGTCTGTATAGTGAATGCTGAGACATCCAGGACTACACAAAGAACAAAGAAACTATCTCAATAATAATAATAATAATAATAATAATATAATAAACAGACTATTAACAAATCTAATGTCTAATGATAAGGACTATCCTAGTCAAAAGCAACAGCCAATTCAAATGCCAAGAGTGTGTCTGCTGTTTTCAACAGCAAGGCAGCTACTGTAGGTGAATGGGGCAGTAAGTATATGCTATAGGAAATGAAAGTTAAGGGTGTCACATGATACAGGGCAACCTACATCAATTCATGAGCTTTTTCTTTTGAGTAAAAGAGACGTGACTGAGCCGTGTTTTACATGAAAGAATGACTAGCTATGACACTTACTTTTAAAATAAT